ACAGCCTGGCATCGTCTTTGTTCCCTTTCAAGATTTCTGCATAATTCTTCTTGGAGAAAATGAATAAAACACTAGGAACATGGTTAAAAACCAGAGAATTAATATTAATGAATTCATAGAACTTGCAAATTAATTTTCATAGAACTGTTATGATATTTTTCAAGGAAATAAAAAAATAAGAAAACAGTATTGTCAATAAAAATAATTTCACTTTTAATAGAAAAAACACAGCACTCTAAATCATGAAAGTTGCAGACCCAACCACTCAAGGTTTTGGAGATGAGGAATCAGTGGTCAGCATCCCTTGAGCTCTGTGTCACACTGGAGTGAGTCTGGCCAGGCCACCTGGACACACACACAAGTTTTGGTGCTTCTGAGGATGTGTGTGAGGGTGAGAGCGTGGGGAAATGACGTTCTTCTAAAGTCAGATAAACCAAAATGACCTGCCCTGTCCATAACGCCTCATGTTTAGTTCTGATTTGTTATATTCCTGGAGGGGAAAGAAAAGATTCCCAACAGCATGATCCTCACCTGCCCCTTCTCACACCAAAGATCCCCACGGGATTGTTCTTGCAGATCTGTTTTCTCAAGCTAGCTACTAAACTGCCTGTTTCAAAGCACTGCACAAGACCAAAGATCAAAAGGTAGCAAAAAGCCCGGCTGCAGCAGGCAGACACACACATAATGGAAAATGAAAGAAGATAATATCTACCCTGTACACGTACCTCATTTTCTCATCACTCAGACCATCCTTCACACTCTCCGAGGTGGCATCTGAATGCAGTTTACACATCACTGGCTGTATTCACATTTAAAAAAAAAACAACCCACCCTTGGTCTGCAACAAAGCTGGATTAGAATGAGAAAATATCCATGCAGCCTGGATGCCCAATTTAAACTGTTCAGGATGTGATGTTTTTGGAATAGCTTGCATTATACTGCACTTTGCTTATAGCACAACCCCCACTGATCTCAGCAGCACTGGGGAATGCAAATTGTTTCTCCAGAATCCCAAACCAGATCACGGAGAGGGTGGGAAGGCACTGGAACAGTTTGCCCAGAGAAGCTGTGGATGCCCCATCCCTGGAAGTGTTCAAGGCCAGGCTGGATGAGGCTTTGAGCAACCTGGTCTAGTGGAAGGTGTCCCTGCCCATGGCAGGGGGGTTGGAACTGGATGGTCTTTAAGGTCCCTTCCAACCCAAACCATTCTGTGATTCTATGATTCTATATTTCTGCATATGTAGCTCTTCAAAGGACAGTAATGGTGCCCAAGGAAGGTGAATCTTAAGATGGCCAAAGGTGACCTTCAGCTTTGGAAAGGAACATCTTACTAAGTTCAGACCATGGCCCCAGACAAAGCTAAATAGAAGAATCTAGCTGCAGGATCCATTATATAACACCTGTACATGCTTGAAAATAACTGAAAATAACTTGAAAATAACTTTTTCCCATTCACTGAAAGGGAAAAACACAACTCTGATGCAAAACATGTCTCAGTCCAAATGGTTCCAGCTTGGCAAAGACGGATTAAAGTGTTGGGTCGGCAGCGCATCAGCTGAGGCTCAGCTCTGCTGCCCGTCTGTCCATCAGCTCCAACTGACCAGTGCACCTGCAACCCACGACTCCAAAAGCTCCCTCTCATGGAGGTCCCAGTACACCCAGCAAGCCCAGTAGGACCAAAGTCAATACACCAGTCGTAGTGAATTCCCAGGAGTCCCCAGAATGATGATGGGAACACAGCTGATGCAAGAGCTGTCATGGCAGCATGTCCTTGTCCAGTGGGGAGACTGAGAGACTTCTTGCCATCAAAATTTTAGGCCCTTCAGTGTCTGATCAGGCTTGTGCCTGAGGGTGCAGAGCGTGAACGCCGGTCTGTGTTTGATGATGGTATCACAAATCAAAGACACCATTCAGACAAAACTCTGAAAGCACTCTGAAAGCAATGATTTATGGGCAAGAAAGAAACTTTGGACATCTAACTCAACTGAGTCGTCGCCAGAAAACAAATAGAATAATCACAATTGAAGTATTTGTGCTTGAGTCTTTTATGCTACAGACTCTCTGGAAAAAAAGATGTGACAGGAAAAAAAAAAAAAGCCTTGAAGCATAAAAAACATGAATCCAAAATGCAAAAGGTTTTCCCTTTCCTGTTTGATCAGACTCACAACAGCAGAATCATGCTAAAGTGCCTTACTTTAGGTTTTGTGAGGAGAGTCGCCCAGCGCCGTGCTCACCCCACTCTCCCCAGCTGGCAGGTGATGCTGACAGAGCCACGGCAGTGCTGGTCCGGCAGAAGGGCCCGTGGCCATGCACAGAAGTGAAGGTGTTTTGAAAGATCAGAGCAGAAGATCAAGCTACTAGCAAAATCTAACTTTCAGAACTAGATTTGCAGGCAGGCTACCTCTCTCAAGTCATTCATGACCAAACAGAGAAAGAATCCTACAAAATACGTAGATTTGAAATATTTTGTTTCTCTAAGGGCAGGCTTTTTAAAAAAAAAACAAGTAGACAACACTTTCCATCCCGCAAGCCAGGTGACTCTATACGTAAACTCAACCATAGCCCTGATAACTGGCTTCCCTGAGTGAAGAAAGGACACTTTTGGGAAGGGTCTCTTGATGTCCTCTCACCCCTCTCCTTTTACCCCAGACACAGAAGCTCTTCTGTTCATCACTAGCTTAAGCTGAGTAAAGCCATTCCAGAAATCCAAGCAAAGGAAGATTTATATTACTGACTACAAAATAACCAATATGTAGCCATCAAAATGGCTTTGTTAGACCTTTACAAAACCTCTGACAAAATTAAGATAGGGAGAAGATGATGTGGGCTCCCTGTATCTCCTTTCCTCAGGAATTTCCTGCCATTCCCTTCCCTCCTGCCCTGTCTCTGAGTCTCCTCTTCCTCCTGCTGCCATCACACATGCCCTCCCCTCTCGGCTTCCTCCTCACTGTTCTTCTCCCTGCCCTTTGCTGCAAGTGAGGGAACACTTGCTACTCGGACCTGCAGGTAAACACAGACCGTTTTTCCTTTGACTGAGGGAACCAATCTCCAGTAGAACAGAACAGAACAGAACAGAACAGAACAGAACAGAACAGAACAGAACAGAACAGAACAGAACAGAACAGAACAGAACAGAACAGAACAGAACAGAACAGAACAGAATAGAATAGAATTTCAGTTCTACAACATTTAGTCCAACTGCCTGACCAGTTCAGGGCTGGTGTGTTGCAAATGCTAAGGGAGGAAATAGGACTTGGCTAAAGGGATAAAAGCAGGCAGAGGGAAGGTTTGATTCTGCATATCAGTGACACAAAGTACGCTGACTCACGGGGCCTTGATAAAGAGTGATAAAATAGGACTGGATTCAAAGTGAGAGACTGATAACACCTTGTGAAAGGACAGGCTGCAAGGAGCAGTATGTATTTCAGTATCTTTAAATACTCAGATGTGAAAGACCTGCACTGGACTTAAAATTATTTCAGAAATGTAAGTTTATTACAGGAAATAACATTTTCCACTAACATTGGGAAAAACATTCTCTCCCTCTTTTTTTTTTTCTTTTATATTAATTTATAAAAAGAAGATTTTTCTCACTCCACTGCTGGCTGCTGCCAGTTGAATATGCAATGGGGCACCCTGGAGCGACATTCAAACTAATTTCCACAGCACAGAGAGAGTTACTGATTTCCTGTGCAATACAAGGTACAGGTTTTGGAATGCCCTTTTTTTTTTTTGTTTGTTATTCAAAACCAGATTTTCTTCTGCTAAGGACATTAAGTTCTGCAGACTGCTCCAGACAGCTGCGGTCACATCAATTTTCTTAGTCACCCTAAGAAGGACACACTTCACTCGTCTTTAAATGCACTGAAATTGTACAATCATCTGAAGATATCTTGCAGAAAAACGTTCCACATTTATTACTTGCTATCATCACAGGTATCATCTGTTCTCTCTCCAGAGATCTAACATCTTAGTTGGGATGAAATGACCCAAATGTCTGACCTGAGAAGTACCCAGGTGCTTTACAGGATGAGAGCGCAACATTCACAGACAAATCAAAAAGTCAAACAGTGGGATCCTTCAGCTGCCACTTGACAACAATGCAGAGATGCTCTGATCAAACGGTCCTAATCCAAACTCAGGGTAGTTTTTCATTATTGGTGCTCTAACTGTGGATGGTACATCCAACGTTTTCCAAAGTAGCTTTCTGGGTGCTTAGTTTTCTGTTTGAGGGAAAGCTTTCTGAATATTCATGACTTTATCCTGTGAAAGAAAAGTTCGGTGTGATTTAGCACTGGCCACAGATGCTGAGCTAACAGATTGGTGTTCGCCATATACTTGTCCAAAGAACAGGCATCCACTCTCTTTCACCTCTACCTTAGAAAAAGTTCCTGCAGTGTAGGAGACTGCTCTGTTTCTCAGTGTCCACCTTACCCTCCGCGTTTTTGAGGGCCTTTCCACCAAAAAATGGATTTATGAAATATGTTTGTTCACTCATACTGAACAGATCTTGACCTGTCAGACCCCAGTTCAGGAGGGATGCCTTTCTACCCAGCTGCGCTGGATCTAAGGCAGCAACCTGACGGTCTACATCGCACCCATTGCCATGCTGCTACGAAGAGAGTTAGAAAAAGGGGAGGGAGGCCTGATGTGGTTAGATTGTTGGTTTAGTGTCTAAATACCAGCAGAACACAGACACGCAGCCCCAGTGATAAAAAGGCTTAGTCATGCAGGTAAGAGCGACATACATGCAGAGAATCCTGTCCTGCAAGCTGGCCCAAAGTCAGCTTGAAAAAATACTGCGTTCCTTCCTGGGAAGAGTTTGCTTCCTCCTCCCCTCTGGGGCTCCACGCCGTTACTGTTTGCCCACACCAAACATGCAGCTCTTTCATACCACCTCCTGCAGAACCTCCTTCTTGGTTTTATCACACGCACAGTCCCTAAGGAGGCCAGGGCTCCACACCTTCCCACCATTTCAGCTCCAGCCCACCCTAAGTGTGGTCCTTCAGGTTTCCCAGGGGCACCGTTCAGCTCGCCACGACTATCGGCTCGACTGCAGAGATGTCTGTCTTTCCTGACTGGATGTTGGAGGCTGATGGCAGGATGTGGGAGACATGCAGCCTCTTGAAGTTGCCGTTTTCTGGCCAAGCCAGTTGGTAGGATGGGACCGTGGAGGGCAGCCTCTGTTCTGTGGGTCCGGGAGGTTTCCTGCACATGCTGAGCAGAGCCTTGAGTTCCGCTCGGAAGCTGTCGTTGAGCCAGCAATAGATGAAGGGGTTGTAGCATGTGCTGCTCATTGCGAACCAGTGAAAGGCGAAGTACAGGGCGTTGTTGGTGTGGATGGTCTGGCTGGAGAGGAGGACGACGTAGCAGTTCAGTGGGAACCAGCAGACTGAGAAGAGGACGACAACAAGCATCAGCATCTTTATGGTCTTCCTATTCTTTTTGCGAAGGGCAAAGTACTGCTCCGTGGTGACGTCCCCGATGACATTGCGCAGCCAGAGTTTCTTGGCCACCGTCACGTAGGCAGCGGAGATGATCAGAAGGGGCAGGACATAGAGCAAAATGAAGGTGGTTAAGTCGAGGTACTTCCAAAAGAGGTCAGCAGGCTCCGGGAAATCCGGCAGACACAGGCACCGGGTAACTTTCTCACTGCAAGCGGAGATACCGGACAGGGGGTGAGAGCGCATATGGCCAGGCACCGCGGAAGAAGTACACCAGAAATGTGGAGGTCGGAGGGAGTGGGCTCCGGCCATAAAACCTGGAGCCAGACCCTTCATTTACACACACATGTCACAGCTAAGGGGACCTCTGCTGTCCAAAGATTGGAGACATGGAGCAGCCTGTGAGCAATGTGGTGATAATTTCTCATGGGCATTCATGACATTATGGTAATTTTATGAATTTCATCAATTACAGCATTTCCAGCTGCATGGAAGCAGGGGTTTATTCTCCATCCTTTGACCAACAGAAACACGGTCTCTGCACATATTAAGGACCTTTCCCTCATCAAATCACTTTTCAAATATCGAGGCTCATGACAGCCTTTTCAGATCCTGTCACTATCCCAGGACTAAAGAGTAGATTAAAACCTGTTAGGTTTTTCCCCATTCCTGGTCTGCCCAAACAGGTGAGATTGGCACATCCTATAAAATGCCAGCATACAGAAATACAGCGTCCAGGCCGGATCCTTTAACTTCTTACCCTATTTCATCTGATTAGTGTGACAGAATAAAGATAAAATAATTAAAAATAGAAACAAGAACAGGGTATCGGCCATTGCAAAAGGAATCTGATGAAAATCATAGACCAGATCCATATTTGACCAACCTCAACATAAATTCAGGGCTTTCAGTAGAAGATGCCAAAATATGGCCACTGAGTTTGGCCTCCAGGGAGGCTGTGGAAGAAAGCAAAGCACATCCTTACCTGTATTCAAAGGTAAAGAGTTTCTGGTAGATAGCATGTGGTAGGGAAAAACAAGCTGCCATGATCCAGATGACAGAGATGTAGATACCACCTTTTGCAGTAGTTATGCGAGGTTTCAGAGGGTGCATTATAACCTGCACAAAACAAACCAATATTCAGGCTTATGCCATTTCAGGAAATGATTATATCATTTTTTCATATAATCTTCCAGCCGTAAAGTGGAAATTTAGCATGCAAGCAGTTCTGTCTTCACCCGGCTCCCACTGACTGTAAGCTGTACATGAAAGCCTGAATTTTTCCTCCATGGGAATGGGCGAAGTCAGGTCCCTGTCCTACCCTTGCATTTCGGTGCTTGTGTCTAGGTTGGGAAAACCGGGTACCAGGAGGTCTTGCACACATGCTCATTTCCAGGTTCAATTTAATTAATAACAAACAAACAAAATTAAAAAGGAGAAAATAGTCTCAGACTCTTCAGCATCAGTGACCCGAAGAGCTACAGGTTTGTGATTTCAGCAGACCTTCCTGGAACACCCCTGACATTTTCCGGAAACTAGAAGCTTTCTAGGAGAAAATGTCACCTGTCAACCGTTCTGTGTGGTTGTTGGGTGACTCCAAGCTGATAATGCTCAGTTGACCCCAGTTTTGAGCCCGGCTCTGCTCATGACAAACACCAGTATGGCACAGGCAGCTGTCCAATATTTGGGGTAAGAGGGGTGAGGCATCCCAGAGCAAAGGGTGACAGAGCTGCGGAAGCTAACTGGGATGTTCCTGCATCCCTCGTGCTGTCCCCCACGGGCAGGATAAACCAGCCCAGAGGAGAGCTGCCCACATGAATTCCTGTCAGGATCTTGGACTTTCTCCTTGAGAGCTACTGGGTTACCCACTGCAGAAAAGCTCCCATTCCCAGTTGGAAGTGATGGCAAGGCACTGGACATCTCCCACCTTGCTGCAGGCTTGAAACAATCCTTTCCATCTGAGCCAGGCCTGCTCCCCCACCCTGTCAGCTCCTCATGCATCTTACGTTAATCTGGGGGCTGAGAAGGAAAGGACATAGGTTCATCCCTTCTCATTTTAATTACACTCTCCCCAGCTGAGCTCTCACCTGGTGTCTGTCCACGGCAATGGCTGTGAGGGTCAAGGCAGAGACGTGGAGGGAGCAGTACTGTGCAAACCTACTCACGTGGCACATCCCCTTCCCGAATATCCAGGTACTGTTCACAAAACGAGCCTAAAACCAGAAAACCATTAGTTTGTGCACACACACACACCCCCACACACCCCACCTTCACATGCTTATAGATGTCAGAGACACCTCAGGCACATAATGCCTTGTGTTATGTAAAAGATACTTTTGAAATAGCAGGTTCTTTGTAGAACTGTGTGTTTTCTGAACCCTTAAGAGGCAGGCTACTGCTGCTCAGTGCCTGGCAGAATCTTCCAGGACAACACAGCACAGCAGTACCAAAGGTGTTTGTTCTGTTTTATTTCACACTGTGTCCTTCTGCAGCCTAACTGTTGAGTCAGTAAGTTCATTTTTGCCTTTTAAGCCATCCTTACAGGATATGGCTGACCTGTACACCTTATTTTACTTCAAAGCAAACTACAGGTTTTCAACATAGCTTGTGAAGTGATAGTGAGCATTAATCTTTTTTTGAAAAGGATGGCAGTATTACCTCGGAAATACTTCATAGAAGGGAAAGGGAAAAGAAAGACCAGACCCTATGAAGTGCAAAGTAATCACTGTGAGGTTATTACTGCTCAAGTGATATCAGGGCCACTTTTAACAAATGGCTGATTTCAGATCTTCAACTAGAAAACAGGAATCAGAGAAGAAAAAGACATGTGGAGTTTTCCAAAGATAACACGCTGCAGTTTGGACTGGACAGGTGCCTGCGAGACATTCACGCACTGCTCATAGCGGCACGAAGAAGAAAAGGCCACCGAAGTACCGAACTGCGAAGCCTTTATGGCATCTGCGCCCCGGTCTTACCAGTGTGAAAGGCGTGTTGAGGAGCGTGATCATGATATCGGCTACAGCCAGGTTCACAATGAACAAGCTGGTGGCGGAGTGCACGCGCTTGGTCTTGATGACAACGTGACAGACCAGGACGTTGCCGAAGAGGGAGAAGACGATGATGAAGGAGTACGCCGCGATGAGCAGGGCTTTCACCGTCACGCTCTGCGATTCCGCTCCGTACCGGCTCCTGCCCACAAAGCTCTGCCAGTCCGCCAGGCTGTCGTTATCCCAAGGAAAGAAACCTGAGATGTTGAGGATTTTAAAAGGCTCCTCCAGACTCCCGTTGAGAGGCAACTTTCCTGGGGTCGCAAAGGCGTTAACCAAGTTGGGGAGGGAGAGCCAGACAAAACAGGACAACATCTCCAAAACGCTGCTCTGCTCCTCCAGTTTGGAAACAGCGTGCCAGGAGAGCTGCCCTCCCTGCACTCAGCCCGGGCTGCAAACACAGCGAGCGAGCAGCAGGAGCGGGAGGATGCTCCTGCCTCCCGCAGCATGCTCCTCTCCAGCTCCGTTCGCCGCTACTTCTGCTCCTTCAGCCAGCTTTATACCCCTACGCAAGCTCCAAGAGGCATCTCCGGCAGCCATTGGGCTGCAGGGATGTTACTCCTGCTCTGACGTGCTGCTTTTCCATGCAGCTGCGCTCCTCTGGGTGCTAGTCCGAGAAAAGCACATCTGTCAGAAAGGCAAATCAATCTCTCCCATCCTCAGCATCCTTTCTCTCTCCTAGCAGCCCAGCCCATGCAGATTAAACCAGTGGCGTGTGTGGCACCTCTATTCTCTCCCTGGACACAGTTAAGCTCAGTTTTCAAGGTCTGGCAGGCAACTTTCAGCCTATTTCACAGCATGACACTGACTAGCATAGAATAGACGGAAAACAGATGAACTGTGAATAGCAAGCTGGCTGACTGTACTCAGTATTTTTCCAAAGACCCTTTCTCTCTCAGCAAGACAGAGAAATACTTAAAACACTCCTCTAGCGGGGATTTCCTCTTGGCCAAAGGAATAAATAAAAAGTTTGATGTGAAACTCTGCTTTCTGGAGTTTACAGAAATCGAGTGATAGGTGATTATCAGGGACAGAGGATGGGAAGGGATGTCCCAGGCCAGTGAGCCCAGTATCCACAGCAATGGACAGCCCTACAGGGGACCCAGCACTGGTGAGACGGCAGGATGCGTGTTCCCTGTACCCAAAAGCACAGTGGAAATCTAAAATCAGTAGCAGGAGACCCAGAGCTGTAAATGCTAGACAGCACAGAAAGACATGCCCCTACATGTGGATGGTGCTGCCCCTCTGCTGGGGACAGATCTGCTTGTGTGGTGTCAACTAACCCCGTCCGGAGCAGGGTTTGTAGGGAAAAGGCTTTATTTAACCATTGGTTAAAAGGCCATTATCTAAAAATCTTCTATTATAGGCCTTTTCCTGGCAACAATCTCTTTCACTGCCGTGGCATTGCTGAATTTTTGAGCTTTCCTGGGGCAGGTGTGAACACGAGTGAGAAGTGACTTTTCAAAAACTATCCAGTGTGAGCTCTGAGAAACAAGGTTGATTTTCTGAGCATCCTACCCCCCCACATAACAAATCACACTGACAGTTAGGAGAAGTATCTGCTTATAGCATAGTCTGCACGCAACAGGTTACATTTCGCCCCCAAAGTGAAGGATGCTGTTTTTATCTTCTCTAAAAGACCACTCAGAACTGCTGTGGTTTAACACTATAGACAAAGCCACGGGGAATTTGACCATTTACTGAAAAAAAACCCCAAATGGAAAAAGGTAGAGATAACCTTTGCTAGGATTGCTGTTAATCCTATATACTTTGCTAAAATCGTTGCCTAGGATGTGCCTGCAAAATTAAGAGTCCCCTTAAGACTTTAGTGAAACGATTAACAAGACAATTTAAGTCTTTCTAACAGAATAGGTTTAATTTGGTGTGGTGGATTAACCCTGGGGGGTTGCCAGGTGCCCATCAAGCTGCTCACTCTGCATCCTTCACAGGACAGGGGGAGAAAATTGGATTAAAAGATCATGGGTCAAGATAAAGGCAGTTGAATGGAACAAAGCAAAGGTCGTGTGTGAAAGCAAAGCATAGGATTTGTTCTTTTTGTCCCATCAGCAGGCGAGGTCCAGCCACCTCAGTAGGGGCAGTGGCTACTTTGGAAGACAAATGGCTTAATAACAAATGTAGCCCCCCCTCCTTCCTTTCAGCTTTTATTGGCGAGCACAGGGTTACGTGGTGTGGAACGTCTCTGTGGTGAGCTGGGGTCCTGCCTGCGTCCCGTCCCAACCTCTTGCCCACCCCCAGCCTCGCGGCCTTTGTGGAGGCACTAGAGAATCACAGAATGGTGAGAATCCTTGGACACCATCTAGTCCAACCCTGCTGGCAAAGCAGGTTCACCTAGAGCAGGTTGGACAGGAACGCATCCAGGAGAGATTTGAGTATATACAGCGCAGAAGGAGACTCCACAACCTCTCTGGGCAGCCTGTTTCAGTGCTCCGGCACCCACAAAGTGAAGAAGCTTTTCCTCAGGTTGAGGTGGAATTGCCTGCGTTCCATTTTGTGCCCATTGCCCCCTGTCCTGTCACTGGGCACCACTGAAAAAGAGTCTGGCCCCATCCTCTTGGCACACACCCTTTAGACATTTATAAGCATTGATGTGATCCCCTCTCAGCCTCCTCTCCTCCAGCTAAACACACCCAGCTCTCTCAGCCTTTCCTCAAAAGAGAGGTGCTCCATTCCCAACATCCGTCTTCGCACCCTCGTCTGGACTCTCTCCGCTAATTGCCTGTCTGGGGAACCCAGAACTGGATACAGCACTCCATAAATGGCCTCACCAGGGCAGAGTAGAGAGGGAGGATGACCTCCCTCAACCTGCTGACCACGCTCTTTTTCATGAACCCCAGGATACCAGTGGCCTTCCTGGCGACGACTGCACATGGTATGGTGAACCAGCTGTCCCCCAGCACCCCCGCTCTGCAGAGCTGCTTTCCAGCAGGTTACCCCCCAACCTGTACCAGTGATGGGGATACTCCTCCCCCCAGGTGTAGGACCCTACGCCTGCCCTTGTTGAACTTCGGTAGGCTCCTCTCCGCCCCACTCCCTGGCCTAGAGACGGCGCGGATGCTGTGCAGCGCTGCTCCGCAGTACCCCAAACAGGGTGTGGGATCAGCACCCTCCCAGCTACACAGGCAGAGCAGGGCACAGCCTGGGGGGGAGGTTAACTCCACCGAGCCAGACCCAAGACATGTGGACAGCAACGTACGGCAGCAAAGAGTTCTAAAAGTTTCAGTCCCCCAGATTCAATGCAGCCTGCACAACCACCATTCGTGATTTACTTAACAGAAATAGTTTATTTTTTAAAAAAAACCTACACCCTCATCTTGAAGGATAGTTACAGCAGCTTTTTTAATTGCATAGGTAACATTATAGCTTTGACAGCCCTTGATGAAAGGAAAGAGGCAGACTAGCAAATGATTTGCTGACACCTTTGTCAATCTCGCTGCTGTCTAAGCTGCCACCAAGCTCTACACCAGAAATTTGCTGGCCTTGATCATGGAAGTCTTCAGGAAGCTCAGGGCCCAGCTAAGTTCCCTGCTACACACCTCTGCAGGCAAGGTAGCAAGTGATGTCCAGTGAGTCAGAAACACCACTGCCCAGTCCCGTCTCTTTGATGGAGAAAGCAGCTACTCGGAGTACGTAGCGTACGCAGAGCTGTGGCGAGAGCTGGTGAACCCTCTGGGCCTTGTCCTCCATTAGCTCTCACAGCCATGGCTCTAGAACAGCACTTTTTGGGGAGGGGGTTGTACAGAGGTGGAAAGAGAGGAGGAGGAATAGGTCTAGGTCCAGGCTCCTTCAAAACTGTGTTTTGAAAGCCTTATTTGGAAAATGGTGATGACATTTTGGGAGGGTCACTGAAGCAGTGGGCGGAGGAAACGGACACCTGAAAAATGTCAGCTAAGGAAACAGTAAGAGACAATATCCCACCCATCACTGGCTCAATCCCTTCATTCCTCAAGCAGCATTCCTTGTGAAGCTGTAAGGGTCATACAGGGTGAAAGCGGACAATGCAGCCCCATCTGAAGTCTTTGGTACCTTTTGAATCACAGAGCAGAATTCGTTCCCGTATACCATGACATTTAATAACAGTGCACTACTGGGTTTAGTTCTCCTAGCAGAGCTGAAAGTATTAGAACATTTTCCAGCTTCAATACCGAAAACTGTCTTTTTGGGTCAAACTATTGCTATTCCAAGTTTTCAACTGTATGTGTGGAAAACTGCAACTAAGTACAAGTGTTGTTATGCTGACCAAGCCCGTGCCCATATCCACACTTGCATACTACTATAAATTTAATCCTCTGCAAAATTCAAGCCCAAGAGATGGGAGTTTACTATAAAAATGACTTATTTACACTGTCATCACAGACAGAAAATAGGCTTTTACAAGTTTTAGGAAGAAATTGCAGTTTCATGGCAGTACTTCAGAGCATTAGACAGTCAAGTCTAATGCACCAAGCAACACAACACCCAGGTTATACCAAATTTGGTGCCACTGAAAAAAAAAAAAACCCAAACCAAAAACATTTCGTAGGAAGTGAGAACTGAATGCAAGTCATTATGTACAGAGAAATGTCACACAGAGAACGCCTTGCAAACCGCTTTCCATTTCCTTCCCCAACTTTCGGGGTCTCTCTTGCGTAGTGGGCCAGAAATCACTTACTTCTTCTTGATGTTGCAAGTGCTTTGGAATGGATCAAATTCATCCTGCAATTTGTAAGCAGACAGGCATTACTAGAACTAGCGTGCATTCGGAGTCATAAACAGTAAAGTCACCTTCAGATTAAACGACAAAGCCTGGTCACATTATCCCCTGTTTTCTGACAAACCTGGTTTTGTTGGTTTTGACATGAAAAAGATTATTGATTTATCCAGATCACACGTGTGCACAGAACAGACACTGGGTTTACATCAATATGATCAGAACAGCTACTCAGAGGAACAATCTCTATTTCAGGTGTGACCTAGGACAACACCATCACTAGGAGCATCACGTACCTCGGTACAGTTATGTCCATATATGTATCACACAGCAGTTTACTGAGATGTGCCTTAATCAAAAACACTGTTTCTTTCTGCATGTCTAAGCAAGCATGCAGTTTTGTATTTCAGGTACAAGAAGAAGAGGCAGCATAGTGGAGAAAAGGGATAAGAAGGACATCATCCCTGGAAGTGTTCAAGGCCCAGCTGGATGAGGCTTTGAGCAACCTGGTCTAGTGGAAGGTGTCCCTGCCCATGGCAGGGGGGTTGGAACTAGATGATCTTTAAGGTCCCTTCCAACCCAAACCATTCTATGGTTCTATGACAAGAATTTAA